GAAGGAAGGAAGGAAGGAAGGAAGGAAGGAAGGAAGGAAGGAAGGAAATAATAGATAGATAGGTGATAGATAGACACATACATACATACATACATACATACATACATACATACATACATACATACACACGCATACCTACAGACAGATTGACTGATAATGTAGGTCAGTGGTAGAGCACTTGCTCAGCTTGTATTAATCTTTGGGTTCAACTAAAATAGCAACAAAAAAGTGAAGGTATTTCCTCCAAATTAGACACAATGAAAGTGAAAAAGAAATTGACTTAAATAAGAAAATAAAATCAAAGCCCATTTGTTAAATATAAATTTTATTGAAATCCATCCTGATGGACTCAGTAAATAAAATTTTGTGCCAAGAGATTTTAAACAAGGAAAGAATTGAAGATCCAGGCAGATGACATCTAAGATGGCTTGTTCTCTCATCTCTGTAAACGAAGTTCACTCTGTCCTTTACAGAGGGCTCCAAGGCTGTTCTTTGGAAGGTTGTAAACAGCGAAAGAGCTGGCATTTCACGTCTGTGGGATTAAAGGCTCTGCTGCAGTGTCCCCACTGTATTTACTAGAATATTCAAGACACTCATCAGCTCTGTCAGCACAGTGCTTCTGGCTAGGTCCAGCATGTCCTGTATTCTGTTTACTATTCAGATCTTTAGATCAGTGAAGATTCCAATTCCTCTAGTGTCTAAGTTTCATCCTCTATAAATGGAAAGCCTAGTTAATTCCCATCAAGGTCATCTGTAGTCTCCCAAGCACCTCTTTGTAAATATATCTTCTTACAGAGAAAAATTTAAAAAGAATAAACTGTTACATTTTTATTGAATTTTTCTGTTTTTTTTTTAATCCCTGAAGAGAAGTTACACAGTTATAATTGACCTTCAAGCCCAATATGGTAAAACCTATCTGTAATCCCATTTATTCAGGAGGATGAAATAGAAGAATGACAAGTTTAAGGATAGTCTGGGCAACCTAATGAGACCTTATCTCAAAGATAAAAATGGATCTTCAGATACATCTTAATGATAGAGCACTTGCTCAGTATAGACAAGGACCTGTGCTCAACATTTTGGTGCCACAACACACACACACACACACACACACACACACACACACACACAAACACACACACAAAGCGAGAAAGTGAAAAACATGAAGTTTGAAAAAAAATAAAAAATAAAAATAAAAAAACATGAAGTTTGACTTGAAATAGATTTTAAAGAGTGTTGGTCTCATAAAACTTGTGGAAATGGACCTTGTGTGATTGGTTACTAATTTCAGCAACGAATTACAGTCTTTTGTAAGCAAAAGGCTATTGTGTAAGTCAAATGCTGATTTCTGTACCAATATCTGCAATTTTTGTTCTAAGAATATCCTGTCTCAATGTTTTATAAACACTGCTCTCTAATTGTCCCCAGATATTCCAATAAAGCAGCCAATCACTGAGCAGGGGAGAGAATAGGACTTTCTCCCATCCAGGGGAGAAGGAATTATAAGAGGGAACAGGGGATTCAGCAATGGGAGAGGTTCAAGAGAATAGGAGAGGAGCTACAGCAGGAAAGCTACAAAGTGCAATATCTCTGGGATGTACACTGGGAGGAAGCCAAATTACCTTAGAGGGTTAAGAATAGACATTTGCTCAAACATGTTTGTAGCAGCTTTATTTGGAATAGCTAGAAGCTGGAAACAACCCAGATGTCCCTCGGTTGAGGAATGGATACAGAAATTGTGGTACATTTACACAGTGGAATACTACTCAGCAATTAAAAACAAGGAAATCATGAAATTTGCAGGCAAATGATGGGAACTGGAAAAGATCATCCTGAGTGAGGTATCCCAGAAGCAGAAAGACACACAGGGGATATACTCACTCATAAGTGGATGTTAGACATAGAATATAGGATAAACATACTAAAATCTGTACACTTAAAGAAGCTAAGCAAGATGGAGGACCCTGGGTAAGATGATCAATCCTCATTCAGAAATGCAAAGAGGATGAACATCAAAAGAGGGAGAAAACAGGGAACAGGACACAGAGGGCCTCTGAAAACCTCTACCCTGTAGGGTATCAAAGCAGATGCTGATACCCTAACTTTATTGCCAAACTTTGGGCAGAGTGCAGGGAATCTTATGAAACAAGTGGGAAATATAAGACCTGGAGAGGACAGGAACTCCACAAGGAGAGAAACAGAACCAAAAATCTGGGCACAGGGGTCTCTTCTTAAACTGATACTCCAACCAAGGACCATTCGTGGAGATAACCTAGAACCCCTGCACAGTTGTAGCCCATGGCAGTTCAGTGTCCAAGCAGGTTCCATAGTAATGGGGACAGGGACTGTCTCTGACATGAACTAATTGGCCTGCTTTTTTATCACCTCCCCCTCAGGGGGGTGCAGCCTTACCAGGCCATAGAGGAAGACAATGCAACCATTCCTGATGAGACCTGATAGACTAAGATCAGAAGGAATGGGAGGAGGACCTCCCTTATCAGTGGATTGAGGGAAGGGCATAGGTGGAGATGAGGGAAGGAGGGTGTGATTGGAAGGGGAGAAGGGAGGGAGCTACAAGTGGGATACAAAGTGTATAAACTGTAATTAATAAAAAGAAAAAAGAATAGACTAATAACTGCTTAGTTCTTGTGCTATGAAGATTGTTAAAATAATATAAGAGTTTCAATTATTTGTGTGAAAGCCGGATTAAAAGAGAAACTGAGAAGCAAACACAGTTTTATGAAAATCACATTAACAATCTGTGTTCACTAGTTCTCCTTTCTGTAAGGATGAGGATTCTGTTGTCTGTATACAACATGTCAAACACTAGAGATGCTCTTAATTCTAAAATAATTATCTTTCTACATGGTCATACAGACTCAATAGAGCCTCTACCACTCTACACCATGAAATTATTTGTATTTAATCTTCTGCAGCAAATCAGTGATCTGCATATTTAAGTTGTCAGGTTAGTCTTGGAAAAACAACCAGGAAGTCACATTATACTAAGTAAAACAATTGATGATAGTGATGTATGTTGTTTACTATACTACAGTGACCATGGCGGTACTACACTAGTTAGAGCCTGTGGCTTTCAATATCCCAATATCTCGCTCATGGCCTCTGACCATACAAAGAATATAGACTGGCCTATTGTCTCAGTATTTACTTTTGTCAACTTTCAGGAAAAGATAATAATCCCACTTCAGCTTGCTTGTATCCTGACACATATTTTCTACATCTTGTCTCCACAGAATAGCTGAACTTTGATTTTTTTTTCTCCTTATCTCCACTGTTACAATCAAATCCTTAAAATGTCAGCAGAGAGAAACTACCTCTATTGCAGATTACTAGAGAGATATAAAGCTTACAACTTCTGCCAAAGCAATAGCAGCTAAAGGAGTAGAGCTGTAATTTAATTCACTGGCTTCCTGTAAGGTTTTGTTTTGACATTATAAGAAACAAGATTATGTAAGCCTGCTTCATTTTCTAAAAAGATGTTATGTAATACAGTGTTCCCTTTATAGGAACTCATGGGAAATATTAGTCTTTAATCTCATTTTGTTTCTCCTGGAAATCAGGTGTATTTTCTCATATGCCTGGGATTGATAAATTCCATTGTGCGTTATTCAATGAACTAGAAGATGTAGCCAAATTTATGGCACGCCTGGTGCAAATGGATGTGTTCTGGCTTGAGTTTTGTTCATTAGTATCACTTTGCCCCTCAGCTTTTCTGTTCTCAGCGTTTCTTTCTCCCTTTTTAATTTCCCTTTGCCATTCTTACGTTTGAGTAACATGAATAATCTACATTTAGACTTTCTTGAATGCCATGAGGTAATAATGAGTGGTGAACAAACCTATCACTTTGTTCAATTATATAATTCTTAGATATCCACTGGATGTTACTGACAGCCAGTGTTTTTAAGGGCCAAATGTTAGTGCTCTGTAGGCTACAGCCATAATGGCAGAGTGAAAGTTGTTTCTAACTCTCTTGCATAGGGGTAAAAAGTAATTTTCATTCTATTATGAAACCATGTTTGGTACATATTGCTAATTATTTGGGATGACTGGAAGAGATATAAATGCGATTAATATTAAACTTTATGTTTTTTAATTTTTTTTTTATTTTATGTTCATTGGTGTTTTACCCACATGTATATCTGTGTGAGGGTGTCAGAATCCCTGGACCTGGAGTTATAGGCATTCAGAGCTGCCATGTGGGTCCTGGGAAATGAACCTAGGTCCTCTGGAAGAACAGCCAGTGCTCTTAATTGCTGAGCTAAATATCCAGTCTAAACTTGATGCTTTAGCAAATTTATGATAAAATATATCCACTTTAATATATCCACAATGACAAAAGAGCTAGTAAGTATAGGAGAAAAACTCAAAACCTTTTCTTAATAGAAGATAAAGTTGGTCTTTATGACCAACTCTGATGAGCTATGCAGAAAGGCTTGAGGGGTTACACTGAGACTCTCTGCTGCCTGCCTGTGGTAGTTTTGACTCCAAGATTTAGGCTTCTTTGAAACTATTACTGCCACGTGTCCTTCATCTTTATCTCTTTGAACACTTTGAACACTTTTATCCAAACTGTTTCCTCCCTGGCCCTCTATGCCTGTATCTTAGATTATCTGGCCTTGGCTTTCTTTTGAAGGCAAAACAAGATAAATATCTTTCCTCAAAATCCAAAATAACTCTACCACATGCTTACCCTGTTTGTGCCAATGTGGCAGAGTTGGGAAGAGGTTTCTTTCTCCTAAATAAATAGATCAGAGCTGAAATATGAGTTAGAGCACTACTTAGCCAAAACTATATAACTAAGGCATACTCTGCCTTAGTAGTTCCCGACACATTCTGGACGTGAGCCCATTCTTTCTTAAAAGTATTGAAAATTCTTCTCCCACTTCAGGCTTCTCACTTACTTGATGATAATTTGATAACATATGCCCTCTTTCATTCTTTTTATTTTTAAATGTAACCTCCATGAGAGCATGTATCATGACTACTTTTGATCACTAGTGTAACTTCAAAGGCTAACACCGTATCTGGCAGTAAGCATTCAAAAAGCTTCCTGCACAAATGAATTAGGAAGTCAATGACTGAGTGATGGATGTTTTCAAAGTTCTCTGTAGACAAAGACCTAAAACTGAATATTTTCTCTCTTACAGCTGTCCCCTATATATAATCTGGTTCCTCTGAAAATAAAAGATGCATATGTAAAGAAACAAAATTTGGAAAGAGCTGTTGGAGACTATCTGGATGAGTTCAGTGTTGATAAATGCCAACCATGTCAAAATGGAGGAACAGTGATTCTTCTAGATGGACAGTGCCTTTGTTCCTGCCCACCCACATTTTCAGGAATCGCCTGTGAAATCCGGAAACAAAAACAGCCTTAAGGTGAGATGAATGTATTTTGGTATTCAGACAAGAATATTCATCCCATGGTTAGTTAATATGAAATGAGCTCTTAAGTTACTTTCTAATAAACTCCCATGCTGTGATCACATATAGTCTAAATATATTACTAGTTGTGAAGGTTGACAAATCAGTCCTCATGTGCCATTTTAACATCATCCACCTCTGTTATTTAAACATATTAAAAAAAAAATTCTAGTTACTGTATTCCTTCCTCCCTCTCCCTTACTTTCTCTTGTGCTTTTATTGCTTCCTTCCTTTCTATCTGTCCTTTCTTATTTTAACTCCTGGTCATTCTAATCTATAGGCAGGGTATAAGCATTCAGTTCTGAACCCAAGCCAATTAACATCTCTTGCGAAAGCTTTCTAATTCCCTAGGAATTGATTCTCAGCTAATGCATTTTCCCCACGCTTTCCCTTTGTCCTTTCCAGCATCCACTACTTCGACTCTGCATGAGCATCTCCAAGTTTGGAAATGCATCTCATACTTTTGTCTTAAACAGCACTGTAGCTGCAGTATGTGGCTACTGTAGTCCATTATCACACGGAGAATAAGGGGGAAGAGCATCTGCATGAAAATATGGGCCCAAAGTTGAAGTCCTATTCAACATAAAGATTTGACATTCTTTTGTTTTCCATAGAAAACAAAGAAAACCCAGGTTCACATGAAAGGAACAACAAAAAGAGAAAAGCCCCAGGACTTTCCAACTTAGCATCCTAATCTGGAGGGAACCCTCACTGCCAATCGGAAAGCAGCCTGCTTCATGGAAATCCTCCCAGCCTCTGAAGTCTCCTCTTCTTTTAGGCTACAGTGCCTTTCTCCCTCTTTAATGCCTATAACACTTCCATTTTTTATTCCCTAATGAAGAGTCAGCAGTGAGACATGCCAGGACTGCTTTTTTCCCACAGGCAATGCCAATCTATTGCTAATAAAACAAAATTAAATTAAAAACAGAATGTTGTTCTAAAAGGCTTTAAGTAATTGCCAAGCTGCTTCGTATGATTAATATATTCCACCAGCCCCATTACCAAGTCGGTACCATGTAATTTAGCTCTTATTTACGTAGTTGTTTCATTTGCTTGTTCGTTTATATGAGCATGTGCTCATTTGGCAGATGCCGAACACCTACCACATGCACAGTGTTCTGCTCTTATTAGGCTTTGATGTCCAACTTAACTCTACATGTCTGGGAGGAAGGGCTATAGTACGTATACCAAAGTTGTTAGATTAAATCTTGTGAAATGGCCTCTGTTTTGCACAAACTCCAGCAGTTTCATACAGTTTAGTTTTGAGTTGTTAAGACTTCTGAGCTGTGTAAGGTAAGTCTGCCCACCAGAGCAGCTGATCAGAACTGGCTGTACTCTTCCTTCTAGATGGTTATAAGGTCCAAGGGGGGGGGGTGTGAGAGAGAGAGACAGACAGACAGACAGACAAAGGGGGGAGGAGAGGAAGGGATGAGAGGAAGGAGGGAAGAAGGAGGGAGGGAAGGAATGGAAAGAAGGAAGGGATGGAGAGAGAGAGAGAGAAATTGAGCATGCATCTGTACCCACACACATGCAGCTAATCCAGGGTTGATTTGCTGTTGTGCTGGTTTGTTGGTTTCTATTCTTACACAAGGCTACCTGGTCCTTGAGTTTTGGGGGATTCTTCTGTCTCTGACTCCCTCTCTCCATAAGAGCTCTGGGGCCATATTACTCACACCAAGTGTCTAGCTTTTACATGGGCTCAAGAGGTTCAGATTCAGGTCCTTTGGCCTTACATAGAGAGGACTTTTTTAAACTGAGCATCTCTCCACCCTGAGAACTTTGGGGTTTGAGAAATTTTTGTAAATAATTTCAAAGATGAAATTTTAAATTAGTTTTCAAGACTTTTAACAGTAAACAACAATGTTTCTGGCTATGAGATGCACTGTAATACAGAATACTAAGTTTGATGTGGGGACAGCAGTTGAAGTACCAGGCTCCTTGAGACTTAAATTTGCCCAGTGAACCCAAAAGAAGTTCTATATTTTGTACCAAACTCTGTGTTAATTAGAAAGAATTGGAATTTGTTGAATACACATAAAACCTGAACTGTTCTTACTCCACTATTGAGAGGTTTTGGTATGGGAGCCTCTGGATGGAGGGAAGCAACTAGAGTAACTGCTCAGAATTCTTTTGATGGTTCTGAATTGCAAAGGTCAAACAAAGAGAGTGGGTGTGATTTGGCTGCCACTTCTCTCATTCCACTGACTGCCAGAGTGGATTCAGCGATCTGGCTGGCTAGGTGGGTGACCCTTCCCTCCCTCAATGCTCCATGTGTGTCGCTCTGATGCTTAGTCAAACAAAGAAGGAGAACAACCTTCTCCAAATAAGAAGAGGCCCGGTCTTCAGTGAAGGGGTAAGAGTAGCTGCTCTCCTGCTGGAGCCTTGTAACAAGTTCTCAAATGTCAAACAGGAAAGAAAGAAACTTGATCAGACTTCCTAAGGTCAGCTTACTCATTTATCATAGGCCAGAAAGAAATGGTAACCATGGGGATGGTTAGGTCCATTACACTCATATTCGTACTCATGCTTTTTCTTCTTTCCGCTCCTCCTCTTTTCTCCCCTCTCCCTCCATTCTCCTTTTTCCTTTCCTCTCACCTCTCTGTCTCCCTCTCTGTGTCTCTGTTCCTGTCTCTGTCTCTCTGTCTTTTTCTCTTTTTCTCTCTGTCTCCCTCTCTGTCTCTCTCTCCCTTATTACCTTATTTTTTATCTATATACTCAGAAAGTGCCCTACTGCTGAACTACACACTCATGCCCAGGTTCATTTTTGATGATTCAATCCTCTAACTTCAAATTCAAAGGTGGACTGTCTGGTAAAGTACTTTTCCAGCAGGGTGCACTCTTGAGACATCAGAAACAACCCAACAGTGATCCCTGCAAAGCAAAAAGTCTCTAAGTCTAACGGAGGGAAGACAGCTAGAGAGTGGGAGTGAGAGTAATATTGAACATCTTTTGTGTGTACTACTGGACAAAAATGCATTCAACTTCTGTGCCTATTTGAATCAGACAGTTTGTTGTATTGTTTACTTAAACAAGTTCTTTTATATTATGAGTACTAATTCCTTGTCAGGTATTTGGTTTACAAATGTTATCTCCCATTCTGGAGTTCTCTTGTTAATCTCTTGACAGTGTCCTTTGATGGACAAAAGCCCCTCAAGCATTTAATTTTATATTTTTTTTCTTTTGTCAACTGAGATAGTGATGTTATATCCAAAAAAGCATGAAACCCAAAAGTCAGTGTGATCACACTTTCCCCAAGGGTTTTTTCCTAAGTGTTTTATAACTTCATTAGTTTTGATATTTAGGTATTTGGTATAACTCAGTTTTATAAGATATAATATCAGGCTCCAGTCCTCTCTTTTGCAGGTTGGTTATCAAATCTTTCTAGTATCTTTCTTTGATTTAATGAAATTTTTTTCCCAAAATATACAAAAGCTTCCTAAAGTTAAAAATCCAAGGATGGGCTAAAAGAAAAGACAGTAAGAATGACATTTAAATGGTTGAAAATCAGGTTCTAATAAACTTGTTTTTAAAGACACATTATAGGTTCTCCTAGTAATATGAAGTAAAACCACTGACTTCCAAAACAACCCATAAGAGTGCATTATTGTTGGGTTAGAGACATGGCTTGGCAACTCATAACAGTGTCTTCTCTTTCAGAGGAACTGGGTTGGATACCTCACATCCACATGGCAGCTCACAAGTATTTGTAACTCTAGGCATAGGGTTCCCATGCCTTTTTCTGGCCTCTGTGGGCACTGATCACACATGGGACATGGACATGCAAGCAGACAGAACATCCACACACATGAAATGATTTTAAAAAATTAAAGAGAATGCATTGGTGGTATAGAGATAGGCATAGTGCCTTCTCACTGAAGAATTAAGTATAGAAACATTCCCCTCTGACCATCGGGAAGAGTGCCAGCAGGTTCCAGCCACGTATGGATACATTAACAGCAGGTTGAACGACTCTGTGCACAGAGAGGCTTCCCGCCTGCTGGGTGCTACATTGAGAAATGTAGTGACTCCAGTGGAGAAAAAGGCGGTGAATCTAGGATATAGGGAGTGTGCATGGGTTAGAAGGGAGACGAGGTCTTAAGGAAAAAGGTAAATCCAGAGATTACTTTAAAATACACTATATGAAACAAACTTGTAATCACATTCTAAAAGTACACAAGACATTTAAAACAAAATTATTCCTGTTTTCAAATTTTAAGATATGATTAAAAAAATAAATATATTCCCCTTCTCTTCTTTCTCTTGTTCTGTAAAACCACAAGGCACAGCTGCTTATGTTCCAATTCTGGTGGATGATCCTTCCTGTTGGTAAAGAAACTTGGGAAGAAAAGATCCTAGGAAAGAGGAATAAGTGGAGAGCGGGGAGAGGAAGAAGGGTGCAGGGAGGAGAGAGAAAGAAAGATGAACAAAACATGCAAATATCCACTCTTTGTGGGACCTTTTCTCTCTTCTGCCCACTGAAGGACCGATCATCATTTCCAAGCCAGTAAAGACACCTCAAAGGTGTGTATATCAGTTCTTTTCTTTTCTTTAATAGGGTAAATGAAGGACACAATTATGACAGAGAGATTACTCTTAGATTGTGTTTCAGAGAACAATAGATATGGGTAGAAGAAGTAAGAAAGGAAGGACATAACAGAGATTCAAGTCCTCAAATACCCAAGGAAAGGGTAAGACATGAGTTAGAAAACAGCACACACACAGAAGCTGTGGCCTCTGACGTTTTGCTCTCCACATTCTTTGGGGTGATGAAGCCTCCCTAAAGCCAGGGTTCCTATTCTGTAGTCCCGCTTTAGCTTAGTAAACAGTCACCTGAGTTTGTGTGGGAATGACAGCTATCTTTTGCCCTTCTGGAGTTTAAACATAACTTTCTCTTCCTATTGAAACATAATAAAAACTCCCCTTTAGACTGAAGGGATGGCTCAAAGGTTAAGAAG